TATTTATTTGTTGTTTAATGTGTATTTGGTTATTAATATTTCAAAAATGCTTATTTTTCTTATTGATTAATCTAAAATGAACACGTAATTTTTATTAATAATTGAAAATAGTACTGTAATTCTAAATTGATAAAAAAAAAATTATAATAAAAACTTAATATGAAAACATAAATTACGACTCTACAAATGAAGTAAATTTTTATAATTAATTTCTCTTTTCTTACAAAAACATTATCTCAGCAATATGTCATAAGTTGCATACACACAGTATGTCTATGTAAGTTGACAGCATATAGAAAACTTTTTTTATTATTCATTTTATGTAAAAGTTATTCTTTATAAAAATGTATGCATGGTCTAACAGAAAATGCAACCACCCGATATCAAATTTTATCAGTCGGTTTTACAAGGTTTGTCAAAAAATTTATTTTCGACAAACCCTATATACGACTGATAAAATTTGATATCAGATGTTTGAATTTTAGGTTTTAGACCATGCATAACTTTTTATGTAAAGTAACTTTTTTTCTAAAATTAATAGACCATTCAATTGTTTATGAAAAATAAGATTTTTTCTTAAAATTCTTAAAAAAGTTTTCCGTATGCCGCCAAGTTACACAAACATACTACATATAAATGAGATTAAATTTGTTGAAAATAATTTTTACTGATGCAGATCTATATAAAGTATTGTGGGTAAATACGGTAATAAAAACACTTTTTTATTATATTTTTCTTTTTTTTTATTTGATTCATTGGCTGCAAGACCTTTCGGTATATACAGGGTATTCCATTAAGAATGGAAGCAACTAAAGATTAACTGATCAGAAATAAGCCGATTAAACGAAACATCCGTAGGTAAAACATTACTCGAAAATCAAAAATTATAAGCAGCTACAATTTTTTTTTGTTATTCAGTTTAATTTTACTAAATTCGGCAAACGTTATTGGTGTAATAAAATACACCTATCAGCAAAAAAAATAAGTTAAATAAGCTTTGCCAGTGGCATACTTCATGGGCAAGTAACACCTTTTTCCCTTCTAAATTTTAGTCCACTGTCCAAAATTTTGATTTTTTTTTATTAAATTTCTAAAAAGAATATATTATTTATTTGAAAAACATCAAAAAATTTAAAATTTTATGTCTAAATAACTTTTTGGATAGTGACGTAAAATTTAGAAGGGATGCCGTATTACGTACCAATGCTGTACGCCTCTGGAAAAGTTAATTAAAGCAGGTAACTAATTTTTTGCTGATAGGTGGATATTATAACATCAAAACCGTTTGCCAAATTTAGTAAAATTCTTGTGAGTAATAAAAAAATATAGCCATAAATATTTTTTGGATTTTAACACCGTAATTCGGAAACGAGAAACATTTTATCTAAACATGATTTGTTTAGTTGTCTTATTTTATTCAGAGAATCGTCAGTTGTTCTATGTCCCATTCTTAACGAAACACCATGTATGGTATAATAGGTCCCTACGTAATGATACGAAGACCTTTATCCTTTGTTGACTGGACACAAGAATGAACTACTAAGTAAATATACCGATATTCCGAATGTAATCCAAAATATTATTTTTATACCTGCTACATCGAAAATATTTGCAAGGTCAAGAACTCGTTTACGTATCATCGCGTAGTGGCTAGGGGTGATGAATTTGTTATTTTATAACAATTACCGTTTAAAATTAATAAAATTATTACGCCATCTGTTGAACAAAAGAACTATTAAATATGGAATATTGCTCCATCTGTTGAACAAAAGGATTCTTAATTTATGACATATAAATGACATCTATCAAAATTAGTTCATGTTACGAATATTGGGGGTGGTACTGTGGCCTTAAGAAGTAAATAAACTCACTAGCAAAGAATAGAATTGTTATTAAAAGTAGAAGAATATACAGAGTTTTTCAGAACTTATTTCTCAATATTTCTGTATTAGCTTTTTACATTTAAATAATAAATATTTTTATATTCATACATTTTCGATAATTATAAATGAAACTAGCAAAACTTTTGGTGAAAATTATTTTTTGTAATTTTTGATACTCTGTCCTTTTTTCGTTAGCTACACTTCTTATAGTCTAAGCTAGCGGTTAATTAATCCGAATAACATTTATAATTTAATACCAGTTGAATAAAAAAATAATGACCTAAGAGGGATACCGTCGTTGCGACATCTAGATTGAAATTTTTGAAAGTGTCAAAAATTAACCTGCTAAAACTTTCAGGAATAATCTTTATTACCAACAGATATTATAACTGTTATTCTGGAAGCTGCTAGTGCCCGTCAGGCGAGTATACAGAGTGGGCCGCTTAAAAGTTCTACCCTCTCTTATCTTTGTTATTAATTAAGAAATTGGAATTATTTTTTTTGTTTAACAGTTTGTGGTTAGAACTTTATTATAACTGATTCAATTATTTTATTACGTAAATCACAATTTATTTTTAATTTTTAAATGAAAACCCCGAAAGTTTTAATTTATTGAACATTTTTCGATAATAACATTTATTGAAAATATTATTATTTTTATTATTTCTAAAACGTGTTACTAATAACTTGTTTAAGGCAGAAAATATCTTTAAAATATCTTTGTAACCCTCCTAATTTAGTGTTACATTGAGACTAACCCAAATTACACCAATGGCTTATCTGGGCAATATTATTATTGGTGAAATTTTTAAAAATTTCACCTACTCTTATCTTATAACTCTTATATTTGTAAATCGTAAAATAGAGAATAATTATTGCGAAAAAAGTCTTTTTAGATTTCTTCAATAATACCCTTTCATTGACATTTTTCAAATTTCCTAATAATTGTTTTCTTTTCAGCGAATATCCGTAAAGAATTTAAATCGCCGCAAATATTTCGAGTGAATCGGTAGTACGATATCACTGGTTTGAACTCATGTTGATTTCACCTCTGACAATAAAGACGTTTAATCTTTTAGAATGTATATGTCCTTTGATGTTCAATGTAGATCTTTGATTAACATTATAGTGTCTTCGGATGTACCTTCTAGGATTAAATGGACAAGGCTGCAGATATACTGGCCTGAGATACGATTATTTTGAAAAATCTAACGTATCAAAGGGTTGATATAGAATTGAACATGATACGATGATCAATAATGTCGTCGGGAATAGAAGATTTTCCGGACGCGATTTTATCGGAAAATCTACTAGAAATAATGGAAATTATGGAAAAAGGAAAGCAATACTGGACCAACTAATGGGACGGAGAGTAAATGAGCAATGAGCGGTCTCAAATGGTGAGTCTTTTGAAGTAAATTGAACTTTTTTGTAAAATAATTATTATAAAATATCTGGATTTGTAATTAATTTTTTTTCCATCAAAATTTCTTATACGTACTAGTGCAAGGAAATCCAAATGTCTCTCTTATCATAAAAAAGTATGAAAATGAATTGAAATAAAAGTGTAACGCTTCTCTGTCACTCTCAATGCTCGCGCTTAATACTTAACATTTAAAATCTAGGTAACCATGGATATGACACACTTTTGACAAGACAATCTAATACTGTTGGATAAGGAATAAGGTTAAAAAAATAAATTAAATAACTGATGGGATTATATTAATAACGCCTGTTTATCAGTTTGTACCTGGCAACTTTATAGCTGTACTAAAGTGAAAGTGAAAACCTATATTTTCCCAATTAATCGATTAATGCTCGATTTTCATTATTAACACATCGGGGAAGTTGATCAAAAAAGTTAATATTATTGCAGCGTTGGCACGTGATTTAGCTAGGCAACCCATTTGCGATTTATTAATGCACATATTATCTAACATATAATCTTTGTCATCATCAAATAACAGAGGGGGCTATATATTTCTAATACCGTATCTCGTTCTATATGGCAAGGGACAACCACTAACTTAAATTTTGTACACCTACATCTTTTTGTTAGAAATAAATCCTCCTCTCCGAACTCCATTATTTTATTTTTTTCGCTTTACTTTTTGTTCGTAGGAAAAATCTTTTACACCACTTGTGTAAAAGTGATTTTTCCGTACTCGTAATGTAATAATACTATTCCTGATATTTGTACCTAAAACGAGTTATCAGGCATTACAGACGTTGATTTCAAACTATTAGCACCTATATCAAATTTCATCATTTACCGAGATTGAGCTCTCTGTGGTAGAGCGTTGTTGGATGAATATACTAACACCCTGTATATTGTTTATACAGTGTGTACTTAAGTTGGAACCATTTGGAAAACTTTTTTATTATTGGTTTTGTGAAAAAATGTATTCCTGGTAAAAAGTTCTGCATGGTCCAAAACTTAAAATGCAACCATCAGATATCAATTTATTGAAGCTGTATACGAGGTTTGTCTACAAATATGAATTTTACTCAAGAGTAAAGTACCTTTATTTTTTACACTACAGAAGAACATTATAATGTAAAGTTATTTTAAATTAAAAGTTATATTCAAATATGCAATTACAGTCATTTAGCATGAAAATTCAGGTTAGGTGATTATTTATGTTTTAGTTATAAATTATTTGTAGTTATAAATTAATTAATCAATCACCAAACCTAAATTTTAATGCTAAATGGCTGTAATTGCATATTTGAATATAATTTTAAATTCAAAATAACTTTACTTCATAACATTCTTCTGTATTGTAAAACATAAAGGTACTTTGCTCTTGAGTAAAATTCATATTTTTTGGCAAACCTCGTATACAGCTTAAAAAAATTGATATCTGATGGTTGCATTTTAAGTTTTGGACCATGCAAAACTTTTTATCACAAATACGTTTTTTCACAAAACCAATAATAAAAAAGTTTTCCATATGGTTCCAACTTAAGTAGTAGACTATGGTTTTCAAATAGGTAGCCCTGTTTTACGGTACCTTCGAAAATAGAATATCAAACATCTTTTATTTTATGAAATAAATATAAAATCTTTTGTAATAAGAAATTATTAAGGATGCTATAACTCAAATAAAGCAAGAATTGTTTTCAAAATAATACTTATATTTGTCAGAATTACAATAAAAATAAATTATAAATAATAACACTAATCCAATGTTTGACATCATTCATAAATAAAACAATTATTTAAAAAAAACAATGTCGACTAGAATGAAGCTGGTTTTCAGACTTGACATCAATATCTCGACATCTTAAACTAAATAGAGCTTTTTTTTGAAAGCAATCATCTCTGGTAATACCTTTGGCAAACGAGATAGATAATAGTAAATACAAGTATATTTTTATACCATTGCTTACAAGTAATTTAAAATCACGAATGGTGACGAATGTTATATTGGGAGTTTTTAATATTAGTTTACAACTCTTTCTCAATCTTGATGAGTTCTTGGATGCCATCGTACATCTCCTTGACAGCATCGTATTCTGTAAGACCCATGCGTCTCTTGTTGGAGATGTCGTAAACACCACCTTCGGCTTCTGTGTGTTCACCACGAGTACCACGAACCTGGAGATTGTATTTAGCAGCGATTTCTTCGAGCTTGGCTTTGTTGGCAGCCAATTTAGGTACCTACAAACGATATAGAATTATAGAACTATACTACTATACCTAAAAATTAGGTAATGTTTTATTAAAACCGTTTTTATAAATCAGAATATGGAGTGAGTTGTTTAGTTTAATTATAGGACCATACATTTTCAAAAAAACCTTAACAGAACCTCGATATTTAGAATTTTTACAAAACCTCTTGAACCCCTGATGGAACCGTTGTTTCCAAACATAAATGATTTGTGGCTGCGCCTCCATACTATGTGGTCTTGGTGAGAAACTACTTGGACAACGTCTTCCCAAATCGGTGGATAGGTATAAAAGGATTGAGAGAATGTCCACCTAGATCACCAGATTCAACTCCTTTTGATGGGGATACTTTAAAAGTAAATTGTACCAACATAGTCCACAAATTATCAATGAACTCAAAGAACGCATACGCATTAAGAACGTAAAAATAACTTCGACAGATATAGAGAAAGTTCGAGAAGATTTCAATGCTCGTTTTCCCATTATATTTTACTTTAAAAACATCAATTTGAGCATTTGATTTAGATTTGGTTGTATTTAATAAATAATATTTATTCTACAAATTCATGTATTTAAGATGTACATTTTAGTTTCTTGTTTTCTAATAATGATTTTTTACTACGTTTATTTTGCTAACTGTGGATTGTGAAATTGGTTCTTGGTTGGCATATTTAACGTGTTACACCACGAAGGTCTGTGTTTACAGGTTCCTCATTTCATTGTCAGTAACAGCGTTTACTAAATTTATTTTTGGGTATCAATTAATGTATGAAAAAAATAAAAATCTATTGGTATTTCATAAATCAATTACTGAGACATATTGATATGGCTGAATAGATATTTAGAAGACCTTACAAATGATGTATTGCCACACCTACATTTCTATTTGAAAAATGTATCTATCTATGACGTCATCACGCTTATACAGATGATGTCAAAAATAAAAAGGTAATCTGACGTCTGGTAAAAGGTAACGTCCCTTATCGGAAATTTTTGGAAAATAAATATATTTATCGGTAATATCGGTTATCAGTTGGTGATCTGGCAGAAACTAGGGTTCTCCATGGGGCACTTTTCCAGAGTGGCCAATGGAAAAGAGGGCTCTGATGACAACTACTGCCAACTTTACTTCTGGTCAATTACTACTTGCCAATTGGTCCTGCTGCCGAATTACAGTTTTAAAACAACATATTTTATTTAATCAATCTGCCGACATCCTTATTTCTAATATATTATTTATGTTCAGAACCCAATAAAAGTCCACAACAATATCGTCACTGACCTATTTTTATAAAATTTCTTGTTTTACCAGATCACGTGGGATACGATTACCTATATGCATTTTCGTAAACCATTTCTCTCATACATAATATTTACATTAGATTGATAGGCGCGAACGTTTGTCTCTTTGATTAAAAAATATATTTTTTTTTGTATAAATTATAGTAGCTGAAATAGTTTTAAATTACCCTAACCTTGACTAATAGTGCATAATTTTAACCAACATTTACTTCAAAAATTAACAAAATAGTGTTCCCGTTTTTGGAACGAAATTATTGTTTTAATTTAGTTATTAGAAATATTTCACTATCATTTATATTTATCGCCCAAAGCATACATCTACATTATTTTTTTTTAATAACCGTTACAACAGTTCGATATCCATTAATACTATAATCGCTAAATATTAATATACCTTGATATGCACAGAAGCACGGACAGTAGTACCCAAGTTGGTTGGACAGAAAGTGAGAAAACCGAGCCTGTCATTGTGAGAGAAAGGTAGTCTCTTTTCAATATCGTTGACTGCAGTTACCAAACGTCTGTAGACAGCACCCAAATCACCACCCATCTGCATGGAGATAATACGAAGATGATCTTCTTCGTTGCACCAGACCAAGAATGTTTTGGCGTCATTGTGGTAGATACCACGACCAGAGGGCCAGAAGCGGCAAGCGTTGGCGGCTTGCAAGAAGCGATCACCTTCCTTGAACAAGAAGTGGTCATCGATGAGTTTTTGTTGAACCTCTTTGCTCATGCCAGTCAATGGGAAGAACGTTCCCTTGAGTTCTCCTGTAAAAGGATACAAAGGATTGTCAGTAATAAAATGGAATAATCCATATGAAAAGAGATGGAAGAATGACGTGAGATAGGATCTACAGATGGTAGACTGACCTTCAAGTCCAGAAAGAGTGGTGGATACTTTCTGTTCCATCTCCTTGTACTGTTCTTCAGTCAAGCATGGGTTGAATGGGTAGCCTTCCAAGGAACGTCCGCATCTGACACGGGTGGAAACTACAAATTCACCAGTGGGATCGAGATCGCCGAAAACGCTGACATCACCCCAGTTCTTGGGTGGATGCTTGTCGGTCTTTTTGAATCCACCATGGTAGTCTTCAATGATGGGGTCAAACAAGTCAGCGAAGACGGTGTACGATTCAGCATCAGGTGCGTAGATTCCTACTCCGGAATCATGGTTTTCCAAACCTGAAAAGAAAATACATGTAAACGAATCAATAGATTAAAACAGGGCTTCTTATTTGATTATGGATGGATCACTACAGTCATGCTTAAGAATTAATATAAATGCCAACGTTAACCCAAAAAAAAGCCGTTGTTATTGATAATATTTATCAATATATTTTTTTAATAGTATGGTATAATAAGTTAAATAAAATTATTTCATATTATTCGTTTTGCAATCAATTCCGACAAATGGAAGGACAATGAAATATAAAATTAGATGCCTACAGAGTTGTACTGTGGGATTCAGCGCATCACAAATGTTTAAATGTAACGTTATATTATATAGCGTTTTCGATTCCAGTGCTCGGCTTGCTCTGAGAGCATACGAAAGATGGGAGATATGTCGATACCAGTTATTTTTCACCCTAAAAAGTAAGCGGTATCGATATATCGCTCATCTTTTATGGGCACTCCCCGAAGGCAGGGCAGTGGAATCGAAAACGCAATTAGTCAATTATATCGTGATAGTAAAGGGAAAAGGAGGTATACTCCGAGCTGAGTCATACTGTATGGGAAAGACTTGGTTCAAACCGGTTTTAATGACGATGCAAAGTTTGGTGGAGACTTGGATGAAACCATTTATGGTCAGACATGTATGATAATAATCTTTTATGGCCTCCATAATCAGATTCTGGTTTGATGGCCTCTAACTGATTACAATATGACTCGGCTCAGTGTTCGAAATAAACCCCTTTTCCCACTACTCGTGATAAATATACAAATACAACAATTATATTGATGTATTTATAAATAAGATTAAAAAATGAAAGATAAATATAATAAGTAAGTACCTAATATATTATCACACAAACTAATGAATTTATGGTAATTATTAATTATTTTTATTGTATTTAAATGACATATTATCTCACCTCATAGGTATATTATTGCTGCGTTTGAAAAAGTACCTCGTTTTGCTTTTTTTACTCGATAGGAGGTATATTTCAAACGTACTATATGAATCAGTTAAAGAGAGAGATTAAATAGAGGCCCATTACTTCAGACAAGACGGGCGGGCATGCCTACCCTACCGAGAGGTCCACGACGCGATTGGATGGACTGGTGACTTGACCTAGTTGATCGGGATTCGGGATTTTTGCTATTGTTATGTAATGTTTGAGGTGTGCGAGGCGGTCTTGTGAGGTGGTACCTAAGAACTTTAAATAAGATGGCAATCAATGACAAATATAAATATTATTAGGATTAGGGAATTTTAAAGCAGCGGGCAGTAATACTGTTGATTTTCTAATGAAAGCAGCCTTCGAAAATGTATGTATAAAGAAACTAATAGATGTTGTCCCTATTTATCAAATTTAATGAACATAGGTAAATCTTATTAATTCTCCAAACAGAAAATTTAATTTAGAGCATCAAAAAGACCATTGGTTGAGTGGATCAGAATCTAAACATAAATTATTTTTGAGAAATCAGAGGGATAACAAACTAAATAAATTATTTTGCTGGATATGGATCAGAGGCGTATCCAGAACCTTTTCAAGGGGGGGGGGGGGGGCAATTTGCTACGATCGAAGCGTAAACTGATTTTTTTCCATTGGGTGTCAACGGTCAACAGAATCAACTACTAGGGTTATAAGGATCAAGGTCGGTAATTGCCCCGCTTCGCTCCCCCACCCTTGGATCTCAATAGAGGTAGATAATTTGAAAATTGAAAAATAAAATTTCTAAAGAACATGCTTATTCATCACTTAAGTTAAAATGATTGAGAAAAAATATACAGAATACATTAATGCCTATTTCATTAATATTTCTAAACGTAATAAAAAAATTGAGAAAACAGAATTAGCATCAGAGTTTCACAATATGTGGAATTTTTATGCACATATGATGATGATTTTTTTAAAAGAGTCCCCTTTCTTTTCAGGTTGACCAAAAACGGTTCAACATGATTTATTTATATTAATAAAATAGCAGAAGAAATACATCATACAATTTGTCAAGTAGATGAAACTACCCAAAAATTATGAAACGATTTATAGGATTTTTTGACGCAAAGCAACTGATTTATATAAATTTTTAAAAATTTAAAGTAAAAAATTAATTGACTGGACAAAAAGTAGGTAATAATTTTCTTATACTATCACTGCTATGAAATCTTAAATATGGAAACCTTGAATATTTAAACCTTAAATATGGAGACCTTGAATGTGGAAACCTTGAAAATTTAAACCTTAAATATGGAAACCTTCAATATGGAAAGCTTGAAAATGGACACCTTGAATATGGTCGTAGTTTGCCAGTATGGTAATATTTATGTCCTGAAGGTTAATATTAAAATTGTTTAGGAATTCGAATGTATCAACTAGGTAAACCAGACTTAGGTAGCTGAATTGTTGATTATTGAACTTTTCCAGAAGCTTTAACAATCGCAATCGATGCACTTAGAATCTAACTTTGGTAAAATAAAATACGACTTCAAATTGCAATAAAACGTAAACAATAAGTATGTACGCTTTGTTTCTCATTAAAAAAAATAAATAACAAAAAAACCCTCCTGATAAATAAATGTAAAGACTAAAGACATAGAATATATTATGAAAAACACAAAAAGGAAAGTAGGGATAGAAATATGTGACCTTCAGTAAAACCATAGAAGTACTCTGAGAAAACTAGTGCACGCGAACATAAATTATTTATTAAAACCAGGGGCGCATATACGGGGGGTAATGGGGTAATTACCCCCAAGAATTTTTAAAGCTAACTTTTTATATGTACTAAAATGTATTATTATCATCAAAAATTAGGCATTAAATGTTACCATTACCCCCAGACTTAAACTTAATTACCACGAACCCCCCAGACTTAAACTCTGGATGCGCCACTGATTGAAACTACACTGCAAAAACAACATTCACTTTGACAATGCTCCACCATTAAGAAAGCGTGGCCACGGTGGTTAGGGTTTTGACTGTAGCCCTGTTTCCTTAATTTTCCTTTATGTGTTGTTCCCTTATTCTGTGGGAAACATGTGTAAAGTCAATGAGGAATAGTGTGAGCAGGCGCGGATCTGGGAAGATTTTTCGGGGGGGGGGGGTATATAATTTTATCGAAGAATCATTCGTTTTTTTTAAATAACAAAAAATAAGAGATTTTAAACAAAATCAAAAAACTCTTATAAAACATAAAAATAAAAAAAATATATATAAAAATAAACTTAAAAATCACTCGTAAAAATCACAAATAGGTTTATCTTGATTACTTTATCCTAAATTCACATTTTCTTGGTTTGCGTTAGCAAATCTGTCTATAATTTTTTGAAGTCTAGATTAAAATCCCGATGGATATGCAAAAGAGCTAATCCATTTAATCTTTCTGGTCCCGTTGTCTCGTTGTTTTTTGATTACAATTTAATAAATTCCTGGATTTCTTCGAGAAGTTCGGGGGGGGGGGGGGGTAATTACCCTATTACTCCCCCCCCCCCTTGTATCTGCGCCTGAGTGTGAGTGAGGGATGACGGTGTGAGATGGTGAAAGACTTGCGTCTATACCGAAAAGGGATATCTGGCGGTGACTGGCTCTTATGTATTGACAGTGGAATGACGTTTTGCGGAGTATTTCCATTTTTTAAGGTGCTATTCATAATTTTTTAATTCGCGCCTCCCCACCAGTTGAGAACAGCTGGATTAAATCCATCTAAGTAATTCTACATTGACTTAAAAATTCAAATTTTCTTATCAAAAATAATCGTCGAAAGTTTTGTGGGATTTTTTTGACAGTCCATATTCAATACAGGGTTTTATATTATATCTTACAATGGTGTTTTTGTGTCGCTTGGTAGATAGGTCGGTATTATTACATAAAAAAACTGTTGTAATGGGTTAGACCATTGGCACAAAGCTTACCAGATTGGATAACATCAAGAAGTGTTGAACCAAAGGTGGGGGTCTTCTTTGTTTTGAGATTGTCAAAGATCTCTTGGGTGAGGAATTTTTTCAAGAGCGATTTAGAATCGGAATCCTTAAGTTTCTTGAATCCGGCTTCAAGTTTGTCCAAAACTGCTCCGTCAACCATTGTGGCTCTTCTGAAAAAATTAAGGAACATATTTGAATAAAAATTATCAATAGATACTAAGATTTAACACCAATTTCTATATTTTCAGTTTTCAGCAAACCAATTATTTTTGCTTAATAACCAAACATAGTTTCTACAGTAAAAATATTTTAATGGCTATTTTTACTGTACTACGCGAGTTCTTTGAAAAGTTTGATAAAATTCTATTAGAGTCATAATTTATAATGGCCGGTTTCTCGTTTCTGAAAGGCACAACAAGAGTTGTATATCGTTATCGTTTTGAATAAAATAGATAATAGTATTGTTATTTTAGAGGCAAAGACAAAATGTTGTTCAAATCTTACAAGATATTATCTTGTTCACCTCTAAATTACCCTCAACTCACCCATTGACAATATTTTTAAGCCATATAAAGTTATAACGGGACAAACAGAAGAGCCAGAAGTGGCAGGTACCATTCACATCTACATCGACGTTTCTTAAACAAAACAAGGCTCAGCATGTGAAATGTTACTCCAGATTCTTAAACTTTAACATAAAATGAGCTCACGGGGAATTACAAGAAACAATATCAATGGAAGGAACATGCTCATCTATACAGATAGCATATATGCACTACCCACCCTGGACAGATAGTACTGGCCGAAATATCCAGCAACAATGTGGCCACCTTAAGATGGATCAAAGATGATCACGCCACAATGAAAGGTAGCCGTATTGCTGATTTACTAGCCAACCAAATACTTTCTGGACCTGGCTCTTTCATTGGACCGATAACATTGGTAGTGACAAACCTAATTAAAGAACATTCCCTTGTGAAATTCAAGGAAAGGTGGGATGAAACAAGAATCTGCATATTTGCCAGGGAACTTCTAAGTAACCCTAATAAGACTAGAACAAACAAATACTTGACTAGACAGAATTTGATCACAGGTATTTTGACTAGTCATTGCCGAGTACTGAAGCATCTCCATAGTATGAGGGTGTAAGAATTCGCATTCTTTAGGGAATGCGAGCAATAAGATGAGATCATTGAGCATATCTTCTATGACTCCCCAACGCTCTCTCTCATTTATTTCATTTGTGTTTGGCGAGGTTTGGCTAACCCCGGCCGTTATAAAAGAAGCACCTCTCAGTGACGTGTTCAACTACATCAAATCTGTAGGCTGACTGGCAAGTTAAGAGGGGCTCATCAATTTAGGAGGATGCCAATGGGGCCTAAGTTTCATGGGGCAACCCACCCTCAACACGTTACAGATACAGATACCCTCAACTCACCCTTGAGAATATTGTTGTTGGTAAAAAACCACTTAAATAACTAAATTGAAACTCTTTTGATAAAGAAATATATGATTGTTAAAATAATAGACGTTATTCGCCATATTCTTGTTTAAATTATTCATTAGAGGAATACTGTGACATCGAACTTAGGGACCCTCTTAATTGCTAATAAAAATGAACACTAATACCACTTTTTGATGCATAAAACTTGGTAAATTTTCCTACAGAATAGGTATAGCTCAAAAAAAGAATAATCATAATAAGAAGAAACGACAATACGAAGTTGCATTTTCAGTCTATCTAATATTATCTAGTGAACAAAATATTGTCATGGATTACAATCAAGCGATATTTATCTACAGATAAACGTTTTGTTATCTATTGGATGCACAACTTTATCGGACAGGCCATGCATTGCTTTTGAGTTGCCATTTGACTGTCGAGTTATTGGATCGGGTTATTTGAGCTGGTCTTGCTACTGGCAGAATAACCGAGGGAAGTTCAAAAGATCAGAGAACCATTATACAAGCATAAAATACAAAGTGTATGTGAACGGTCGAGGCTTGCGATATCTTAGAGCACGGACAGAAGTTGGAAAGGCTTCTAGTAGTTGGAGAGGTGGTAAATGTCAAACCCCGTCGAACGACTTCGAAAATTTCACGATACTATTTGTTTGCCAGTGTCGTATCATAGAATAAAAATAATAACAAACATTTGTATTTATTACTGGCGGAAACCGGCAATCGTATTTATTTATGAATTAGAAATCGTTGTTTAAGCAAATAATAATATCCCAAATTATAATTCTACAAAATTTCAACTGCTATTTATAATATATTAAACTATTTACGCAAAATTGTTATTAGCATATATATAACATAATTTCCTATGCCAATGTTTCACGATCCTGTGTATGAAGTGGGCGAAAAGCCTTTCCAACTTCTGTCCCTGCTCTATAAGATTGAAGTCAATCAAGCAGATGACACTTAAATGCATGAATGGAAAGTGTTGTTGTTGGCTTCCCAACTGTTTATTCTTATGTAGATATCATTATCGAGAACCAGCAGGAGGAAAGCTTTGTTAATGTGAATAACAAAAGTTAGAAGGTCAGCTGTAGATGTGTGTATCTTAGCTATATTGGCTGTTATTGATCAACTGATGGAAACTCATTGGTTCAAGTAAACAAATTAACATTAATGAGCGTTTTTATAAACTTTTCAAATAACTTTCGTATGTTCAACATTTAACACATTTACCCTTTAAGCAGATGGATAAAGCAGAAGCTTTTTTCGTCTAAAATTCATACTTTCTTAAACTTGAATTTAAATATTTAATAATTATAAAATACAATACACAATATTATTATTTATAAATTGATTAGTTAATCATCTTGACATCTTTCAACATACTCTAAGATTGTCATACAGGTTTTTGAATTTATTCAATAATAATACTCTCCCTAATTCACCCCCTTACGATTGAATTTCAACCCCTGAAGCCGACGGCTATTGTTATTATATGCCGTGGCTCTTCTGGGCGACTTAAAGATGATAGATGGTGCCATTTGATTTACAGGTGTAGTAAACCCTGAAAACTCCACCCACAATCATCGAAACATAAATTAAATTTCTGCTAATACGGCAGCCATCAAATCCTATAGAGAATCATGCAAATAAATTAACATGGTCTTCCTTAGGATTCGGAGCTGGATGTCTCTCAGCCTCAAAATTGCTCGCAAACGAATGTGAGCGCCTTAGACACCTACGCCACCAATCTGATTAAATAGATACTTCCAATAATTGTTTAAAATATTCTATTTCACTTAGGTGTAATATTTTAGACGGAGTTATTTTGATATAAGTATGAATTATGTAATACAAACAAATTTTTTAAATTACTGGATTGTATAAAATTTTTGTTATGGAATTTTTTTAGGAAACGGTGCCTGGTTTTGGCTCACTAAACATCCTCGCTTCAAAGCATAGACTATTTTTAGTAGTACCTATTAATTTCAGGTGCCAAATTTAAAAGTGATTTCAGTCGAGTCGACTTCTATGTAAATAATTATTAGAAACACATTATTTTCCAAAAATTACATTCGTTATTTCAACTATCTTTTGTATTCTTGGGTAGGGTTCATATATTTTATGACATAATAGAGATTTAAAATTATTTTTGAGTAATAAGTAGGTATTGTTAGAAAAACATAAAATTGACTAACGATTTGGAAAATATATAAAATGATTATGGAGTATAAATGAAACATATAAGCAATCATGAAACTATTAAACAATATAAATGAGTTTCGTAATGAAAATCTAATGAACGATTTTTTCCAGTACTTCAATACAAGCTGTTCAATAAGGGTTACTCATTTTAAGAATCGGGCATTAAAAGATCGGTTTAAAAAAACAAAGAAAGTAAACTTGATATGTGAAAAATGCTGTTATTTCACATTGAACTAACAATTATGTATTTTAAACATTTGATTGTTTTAGTGTGTATGATGAAAGAAATATTATTTCAAAGATATTGCATATGGCAACACTGTCAGCATTCTTCATAGTTACAATTTATTCATTTATTCCACATTGAGGAAAGTAAACAAAAATAATATTTCCACTAAGTAGATAAATAACCTGGTAATTACCTAATTCATATTTATTATTTTCAATTTTTGTTTTTTTGTTTTAGTCATTGCAAATTTCTCGATCACATCTTTAAGATCTAGTTCAGTGATTCAAAACTGTGGGTCGGTAATCCTAGAGCAGTGGTTCTTAACCTTTTTTAACCCACGTACCTCTTTTTGTGTATTATTAACTCAATTAACTGTGCGTACCCCCAACAAAAACACTAGTTTATTTAAAATGTGTTATATTAGTAAAAGTTAAAATGTTAAAGTTTAATTACGAATGGGTAATTTAAATTAAAAACATGAAATTTTATTTTATTGGACATTTTATAACACACTTTTTATTATCAGACACAATTATAAATGTCTCGGAAAATAATTAGTGGGAACGATGGGTTTGTTTTTCACAATAAAATTCTAGCGTGTATCAATAATTTTGTATACTTTTTGGTAGTTACCTACGTACACCCAAGGGGTACGCGTACATGGTTAAGAACCATTGCCCTAGAGGAGGGTCCCAAAGTGATTTCTATGCTATTCTTACTTCACATGGAGATTTTAACATTTGTTTATTAAATTTAGCTATCTGTGAGATCAAAGGGTATACATTTTCAATTTTGAAATATTATATTCATTCAGATGACATCAAAGAACGATTCTTGTTTTGTAGTGCATTTGTAACCACTACAGAAGAAGAGTGGATGTTTTAAAGCTTTTTCATATTAAAACAAAGAAACAGACTAAATGTTGAGAATGACATGAAGTTGACTTTAACAAACACTCTGTCATGAATTTTGAAGCTGGTAACCCAAATACAAGTGAAAAACATATTTTATTGTAATTTGTTAGAATTTTAAAAAGTTGTGACCGAATTTCTGTAAACCCATCAAATGCTACAATGAACCATACAAATAAAAAAAATTCATTGTTTAATGTAGGATTCTTATATATAACTTTTCTTCTTTAAATCATACATAAAAAATATGTTTACGTAACTATGTTTACGTAACCTATATTTAATTTAAAAAAACAACTTTCTCATGTAACTAGGTAAATATAAAAGAGTTTTAATGTTAATTTGGCTAATGAAAATAGCT